AATGTTAGCCAGGTATGCAACATATGTTGGGTGAAAACAAAGTGAAGTGTAATAAGGAAAAGTGTTTGGAGTAAAAGGTGAAGAAGTGGAGTTAGAATGATGGGAAACTGAAGTAGAAATGGCAGATGTTTGGGTAAAGTTGGATACAAAATCTTGCATCCAAACAGGTGGAATTTTCTGTCGTGTGCTCCTCCTGATGCAAGGTTGAATAGGACCAGTATCAGTATCAGGTGATATGTCTGTAGAAATGGAGGAACCATCATTGAGATTATCAGCAGCAGGGGGCAGACTAACAGGAGGAACAGAGGCTTCAGCAGGAATCGGAGTAGTCTGATTTTGATCAAATATAGGAATAGGAAGAGGTAAATTCTGATCATAAATAGAGTTGGCTTTATAGGGGAAAATATTTTCATGGAAAACGACGTCTCGAGAAACAAGTATTTGACGTCGTTTAAGATCATAAACCTTAAATCCCTTTGTACCATGACTATAGCCTACCATGATGCACTTAAAACTCCTAGGAGAGAATTTGTCCTTGAAAGGCTGAGTGTTAGTCGCATAGCAGAGGCACCCAAACATTTTGAGATTTTGATAGGAAGGCAGTTTGTTATGGAGGATTTGAAATGGTGTTTTCCAGCTAAGAATCTGAGTAGGTAAGCGATTTATAATGTACGTAGCCATCAGGATAGACTCCCCCCAAAAAAAATTAGGCAAGTTGGCTTGAAATATAAGTGCTCTTGCTATTTGCAATAAGTGTCTATGCTTCTTCTCAACAACATCATTCTGTTGAGGTGTATAAACACAAGTCTTTTGGTGTATTATACCATTATCAACAAGTAATTTTCTGAAATTAGAATTAACAAATTCAATACCATTGTCAGAACGAACAGATTTAATGTCAATGTGGAATTGATTTCGAAGAAACTGATGAAAGGCTTTGAAAGTTTGTAAGACCTGTGTCTAATGTTTGAGAAGAAAAGTCCAAGTAGCTCTACTTCGATCATCGACGATAGTTAAAAAATAATGTGCCCTGGAGATAGAAGCTTGCTTATAGGGTCCCCACAAATCTATGTGAATCAGTTCCCCCCACCTGTGTAGTTTGAATCACACTAGTTGGAAAAGGTAAC